AGGGAGGTAATCGGCAGAAGGCGGTCTCTCAAGTACCCAGATCCACTACCATGGAGTGCTTTAAAGATATCTGACATACATACATCTGATGGTTCATGCTTTGAGCTTTTCTCCCCAAATATCTTCAAACTACAGGGAAACTACCTCCCTGTCCAAAATTAACAGAATATTGCAACATTGTGAGATTTCATCTCTTTTCCTCACCTTCCTTTTTGTGTTTCTTCAGCCTGGAGAAAACCCCTATCCTAAAGATGAAAATGGTCAATGGCTTTATCATGAAACAGATCTATGTGCCACATGGGAGGTGAGTATTTGGGAAGCATTAATCGTATCGTATCTAACAGTATCCACAACCTTCTCACAGTCCTTAGGTCATCTTTTCCAATAAATTTAGAGGGGAAAAGAAAATTAGGTTCCATTGGATACCTCAAAAGCAATGGATTCTGAGTTGTATGCTATACTGAAGCAGTAGAATTACTCTTCAACCTAGGGACACTCAAGATTGATCAATCTAGCTGTCTGCGATAAGGAGGGATATTATTTTGGCAAAATAAAATAGCAACATAACACCACACAATGTAGGGATGATCCGTTTACTTAATTGACCAAAATTACAAAGCCACAAATGGTGGAGCAGATTATCAGGTATAATAAATCGGGCATGCATTGTGTAATTTGTAAAACATTATTATTTTTGCGATATTTGGGTGTGTGTATGTTAAACTTTACAGTCAGTCTTATGGCACATTAAATATTAATATATTACTATTTTAATATTAATATATTACTGAGGGTAGGATAAGAAGCAATGGGTAGAAACAAATAAAGGAGAGAAGCAACTTAGAACTAAGGAGAAATTTCCTGACAGAACAATTAGTAAAACAACTTGCTTCCAGAAGTTGTGAATGCTCCAATACTGGAAGTTTTTAAGATGTTGGATAACCATTTGTCTGAAATGGTGTAGGGTTTCCTGCCTAAGAAGAAGACCTCCAAGGTCCCTTACAATTCTGTTTTTCTATATTCTATATTCAATACCCCTTAGACTATTTTACTGAAGTTTTTTTTAATATTAATTTTTATTGAACAATTTTCTTCATTTTATATCACAATTACAATCTTTACAACACTCAAGTATTGGTTTATCTGATATGTATGTACAAATTATTTACCTTATTTTTCCTTTTCCTTTATGAACGCATCTATTTTATACAGTATGCTATTATTATAATTACATCACTATATATATTACCTCTTAATTTAATTTAACATTCTTGATCTTTACTTCTATTTTCTAACCAATTTATTGAAGTTTTTTTTTAAAAAAGTATTTTTGAATAGACACAAACAAACAAGACACAACAAACACCATAAAAACATTTTCCATTACAAATTATAAAAAGTGTGTCAATTGGTTACAAAGAACTTTTG